AAGTCGCCCACGAGTTGGTATTGAATAATGTTGATTAGCTGCCTTCCCTCTATCACTTGAATATTACGGACGGCTGGAGCAGTCGGCAAACGAGTATCTTTGTACGAAATTCAAAGAATAACAGCAATGCGGATAGTTTTCGCTCGTATCAGTGCTGCTTACTACTATATCGTAGCTAACCTCAGGGGTAAAATATAATGTTAGTATTTGTATAAAAGCGTGTTATTGTTTTTTGCAGTTGAACTTCGTTATTTACTGAAGGCTATAAAAAGGTCGACCTCAAAGGTAATTTATTTAAAATTAAACAGCTATGGCAAAAATCAAAAGAAGATACGGCAATCAAAAGCTTAGTAGAATATGACCATGAGGCTTTCGATATGTAGCATTAACTTGAATGAATGGATTAACGTTAAAAGTTAAATATCACCAATTCCCTTGCCTTTGAAAAGTGTCACCAAATATTCATACAACTACCCTTAACAAGGACATCTTGTGACTAATTAAATTGCTAATTGTGATTAATTAAATTAATTAAACTAATTGTGACTAATTAAATTAATAGTGATTAATTAAATTAATGGTGATTAATTAAATTAATTGTGACTAATTAAATTGCCCATTAAATTGCTTCGACAGTGCAACCGTAAAGTAGTGTAATATATGAGATAAATACTACGGCTCCCCAGTGGTTCAGCTTATAATTCTAAAAACCATGTTTCGATACCCGCGGTGAGCATAGCACAGATGGTCCATTGTGTAGCTCTGTGCTTAACAACATAAATACTACGACATGTTACTCGTTAAGTATAGAGTCGGGTAGCAGAACAGTACAGATAATACAACAAAAACTAGTACAATAAATAAAACTAATGTCTATTAAAAATTATTAACAAACTAAACGAATAACAAAATCGTGTAATAAATAGTAATAATAGTACCAAGTTAAAGGTAATAAAAAGATTTGTGTCTAACACAACTAATCTGACATTAACCATCTCAAACGTTTTAGTTTTACGTTTTTGAAACTTACAAAGCAGTCACGCTTTTCAGTTATGTATAAAGCACTGGAGTTTTATCCCTGCAAATTTGAAGAGCTACAGTGTGCTACAGCTCAGAAGCAGCTTTTCTCTCAACGATTCTAATCAAGCTTGGTTTCGTAGTAGTACGTGCGTGTGATACTACATCACAATAATAGTTACAACATTGACGACGAAGGCTTTCGTTCAATAACAGAGCTCATTAGTCAGCTAACTGAGTTACAAGTGATATAATGCATTTTCATTGGAAAGCCGTACTGGTCCAGTAAAGAATTGTATGATTTAAATTATTACAGTTCGTATTATGATGTCACGTGTGACGGATTTATTATTCTATATTTATTTTAATATCAATGTTTGTTTAAATAAAATCTATATTTAGAAATTTACATAACGTGTACTTTTAAATATGTATTGCGAATCTCCCGCCTATTCTCTAAAGTTGTAGAAGATTCTCGAATGTAAGAATCAACAATATATGTGTGTACGTAAGCGATAGTATAGCTTCGTAATGTTACGTAATCTGAATTTTCGAGAAACTCTCCACACGCCTATAAATATAACCAACGCGACACGCCTAAAAATAATATATATTATTGGTTTGCTATAGTTGGTATACTATAAACCTAGGAAGGTATAATTCTGATTAACGCTTATTAACCGGAAAACTTCAGATATTTGACCAGGAACATTTATACATTTTGAACTTTATAAAACATTTAACTTCAGTGGATTCACATCAGACATTAGTACTTTTAAAAAGACATTATATAACTTCAGCGGTAAAAAAAAACTCGACCTGCAATCGATGTGTGATCAGCGAGAACTACAGAGCTAGCTAGCTCCCTATTAAGTGAATTGTACCTAAGTTAACTCGAAATTAACTCGATCATCGTCAACCCTCAATAAGATATCAAGGAAGTTCCAGACCAGGTTCGAATCCCCGTCACACCAAACATACTCGCCCTTTCAGCCGTGGGGTTGTTATAATGTGACGGGCAATCGCACTATTCGTTGGTAAAAGAGTAGCCCAAGAATTGGCGGTGGGTGGTGATGACTAGCTGCCCTCCTTCTAGTCTTATACTTATAGCTTTGCGCGAAATTCATAACAAACAAACAAACAATTATTCCATGGATTTTACGCTTTCTGCACATAATGCTGTTTTAAAGTTCTGTCTCTGAGAGAGTGAAATTTCCCAGATACCCCAAATCTTGAAAGACATTCAAGACAAGTTACTCGTTTAGAGGTTCTGCTTCCTGGTTATAAACAGCATATATATTTGGACATTTGGTGAAGTAACTCCTCACAATCATGATGTATTTATTTCTACTGTTGCTCTGTGACAGAGGACCAAGCACATCAAATGCAGTTCTCTCAATACTTCTGTGTGGCTGGTGAATAACGAAGTACAAAGCTAACTAGCTCCCTGTTAAGCGAATTGTATCTACATAAACTCGTAATGAACTCGCTCATCATGAACCCTCAATAAGAAATCAAGGAAGTTCCAGAGTAGAAAGAGGACTTTATATTGCTTGTAAGTTTATAAAACTTTTGTATATAAATCATTGTTTGTAATAACTATACACCTGGAAAAAAGTTAAGCACCCCCAAATAT